TTATCTTGACAACATAGTGTTTATTTGCAAAGCATAATAAAATGCCTTGTAAAAGAAAAGCGTTTTCCCCTTAACCATATAATGATACACTGTAAAGTACCTCATTATCTGGGGTTTAATCCGGAAAAGCTGTTCTCTGAAAGAGTATAAATGCATGCAAAGCATAAATGAATGTATATTCGGTTCTAGCCCACAAGCCTGCATTAGTGTCTCATGGAGTCATACATATCCTTCCATGCAGACCTACAGTAAAATTTTAGAGCAACAGCAACAAAGGACAAAGCAATTTACTCATCAAGGGCCCACTTCTGCAAGCTAATGAGCACTCATGTTCCTGATCCAGCAATGCACTTAAGCACAGGCTTAACTCAAAGCAGGTGTGTCACTCCAAGCTGATGGGACTACTCACCTGCTTAATGTCACACCGGTGCTTCCACGCTTTGTTGGATCAGGAAGTGTGTGCAGCACCTGACAGGGCTGAGCCTTGAGGCTCTGATCCAGCGAAGCAATTAAGCATCTGCGTAATGTTAAGCATGCAACTAGGCCCATTGGATTACTGCCATCCATGGGACTACTTACATGCTTTCATTTACGCATGGGCTTAAGTGCTTTGACAGATCTGGGTCCACACTAGCATTGTGTCGGGACATTTCAAGACTCAGATTAAGCCCCCGTTGCTGGAAATCCTGGTTTTCAACTGCATCGGTTAAACACTTTTCACCACTGCTCCAAAAGTCTGAAAACAGAAAGTCAAGTACAGACACAGGAAGTGCACAGCTGTGGCAGACAGCTGGGCATCAAGGGACTCCATAGACAGAAACACCGAGGCCATGAAGAAAGAAGTCAACAGCAAAGACTCTCAGCTGCTAGCTCAGCGGCACACCACGTTAGCAGCCGAAAACTCGGGTTTATGACTGGATTTAGGAGACCCCCCTGGCGTGAGAGCAAAGGAAAAATCAGTGAAGCTACGGAGTCAGCAAGCTCCATTTCTGTGCATCAATTCAGCCTTTAGCACGCCTGTGCCCTCGCCGGAGAATCATTCTGCCATATACAGCAGCCTCACTCGGGGCTGGATTCAAAGCCCACTGGAAAGTGCTTGTGCTATGCAGGGCCCATTTCTGTAAGTAGCTGAGGGAGCCAAGGACTGTTAGCACCACCCAAGATCAAGTCCCAACTGACCAGTGGGATACTGCAACGTATCAATGTCAGGAAATGCAAACGCCGAGTGTAAGGCTACACCCCGCCCACCTGCAAAAGCCACCACTCACCTCATTCCCACACAGGCTGATGTTAAAGAAATGAAAGAACTTTGTCCCTTTGGATGTAAAGCTGGGTCCATTCATTAATGACCCCACCCCGCTGAGGTTGGTAAAGTCATAATTCAGGGTCTGGTTGTCCCTGAGGTAAGAGAGCGTGCAGTCACTGAAGCAGGCGGAATGGTCCTTTGGGAAGGAGAGAAGGTAAATATTACAGGACAACTACTGACCCCAACAACTCCCCTTCCTCTGCTAAAAGTAAAGGGAGAGTCCCTCCTATCTCCCTGGCTCACATCTTCCCCTCTGCCTACGTTGGTGAGGTGAGAGCTCCCACTCCTGTTCCAAACTATTTTAACCACAGCTTATATCTGCTGCAGGCTACCATCATTATATCGCAATCTGACATGAGTCTAGAATTCCAGTCAGCAGAGGGCATTGGCAAGTGTATGTAACCCCAATTAATCCAGTGGTGGTCTTTGTCCCCTACAGTAGCTAGATAACATATAGCAGTTTACGAGTCCATTACTACATTTTCACTAATGGATCTGGTGCTTTCAGTCAGCCAGTAAAAGCTTGGGCTTTTGGATCCCAACGTCCTGGGTTCGATCCCTGCAGATGGACTAGACGGGGGTTTCGTTGCACAGAAACACAAATATAGCATATCATCACATGTTTACAAACAGAAGTTACACCAGGGATGAATTTAGAGCTATGAAACATTGGTTTTAACTACACTGCAGGTCAAGCAACCTGGTGGCATTTCTACAGTGAAGCAGTAAGACCTGCCCCTAGAGTGCTTATACTACAACCTCCCATCTCTGCCTTTAGTCAGGGTTAAAACCACTTTCAATCTCTGTACCTTGTTGCTTTTACTGCCAGGCCCACATGGGATACAAGACTCTTTGCCGTACACCTGATGTATGGACAGATATGTGTTGGCTGGGCACTCCTTGCATTGGTTGGTTTCCTTCTCAATGTAGTGTCCAGCAGGACAGGGTACGCAGGATGACCCAGACTGTTCAGACCCCAGTGCGCAGGCCCGGCAAGACGAGGCAACTCCATCCAACACATTGGTCACTGTTATCGAGTAGATTTTTGCCACGTCGTGTATGAATTGCCTGCTCTGAAACAAGCGCAGGAGAAATAACCCCAGAGCTACTTTCGAGTCACACGTTAAATAGTTCACCTATAGAATAGCACAATCAGAACCTGGAATGCTCATCTTCTGTGCAATAAGGCCCCAAATATGGGAACAGATTTTAGCATGTAGTTAGCTTTAAACATGTGTGTCACAGGGTGGGATGGCCCTTTAAGGGAGTAGGGCTTAGCCCCTATCTGTGACTAATAAGCTGCGGCTCAGGTGATGGGGCTGAGGCAAGGGATCAGGTGATAGGAACAGACTAAGATAAAAGGCCAACAAGCAGCTTAGTTGAGCATGGCACCAGTGATACCTGCTCTTCCAGGAGAGCCTGGGTCAGGGGAAGGGGCCTATTTTGTCTGTTTTGATTTAGGTTTAACTAGTTTGATTTCAAAAATGAAACTTAACGCTGAACTAAAGGGATTGAAATCATTCTGTTGTTGAGAATGTTATTTAATGCACTGGTTGGTGTGTTTACCCACTGGTTTACAATGGGCCTAAGTCCCATTGACTTTAATGGCACTTGAGCACTTGCTTAAGATGCTTTTCTGAATAGTGACTTGGTGAGTTCATATGTAACAGATGGGGAAACTGAGGCAGGAAGGTTCACTGCCCAAGGTTACAGGAAGAGACAACTTCACAGCAACGACTAAAACTCGTAGGTTCCTGACTAATAGTGTGTGCTCAGACCATTCCTCAACTGAGAGACAAATGCCTAAAACTCCTAGCCATTCTCCACCTCCACCTCATTCTAGATTACCAAGTTCACAGCCTGTAGTATTGCAAGTCTGTTTCCATCTGAAGTCCATAACGTTGGCTTCTAACAGCATATGATTACCAGCACCTGACTGGTCTAAATGTAATTCCTAAATTCACATCTAAGGGATAAGAAGATCATACCTGAAATGATTTGTTTAGCTAAATCATGTGTTGAGGCTGAAGAAAAGGGGAATGTAATTAGGCAAGGGATTGTCTTTTTTTTTTTTTTTTTAACTGTTTAAAAAAAAATGTTTAGTGACTTTTGTGCTGGGTTGACAGACCTGGCGGCTAAGTCCTTTACCTCAGAAAAGGCAGCAACCAGGCAGGATTGCTCACAATCACATCACCAAGGTACCCGATGGAGACCTAGTCTCCATGTTGAGTCAGTCCTATCTCTACTGAGATCATTAACCATGGTGCCAACTTGGTGATAGTGGCTTTGTGTCTACTAAGAACCGCTTTACCAATTCATTTCACATAAGCTACCAAGCAGTCATTTGATGGTGATGACTTGGTCTTAATTCCAACAGTGCATGTTTATTCTGTATTATAAATGAAACAATGTATATTTGGTACAGAAGTGGTCCTTAACTAGTCAATATGGACTGCAAGAGCCGCTATAATGACAGTGGAGCAATCTGCTGGTGTCCTACATGCAGGAGTCGGGATTAGAGGAGAGAGCAGAAAATTATGGCACTTAACTGCCCCTTACAATATTTACTGGACTGAGCAGGCCTTCATGCTTAATTCAATAACAAAGGAACAGCATCTCTTGGTTTGTGGTGGAGTAGATGAATGTGCTAGCCTTTTGCTTTCAAAGATCTTGGGATTTCTCTCAAGCCCCCAATGCTATACTTGGTGCTCTCCAACTAGCTCCAAGAGGCATGTGCCTAATGTTACAAAACCAGCACAGAATTTGTAACACACCAGCATGACTGGCAGTCGCAATGGTAGATTAACAGTGTTGTGTGTGCAGGTTAGCACTGCACATGCCCACGTTTATGGTTGACTGCTGTCACTCCTTCAGTTCTCACAATTACTAAAATCTAACCAAAAATGTAGGAAAAGGACATTGAAATGAAAATTGTGGGAGAAATGCCTCAGTGTAGATTATACAAAGAGATGGAGATGCTGCCTGGGACACTGGGCACCAGGCCACAATCAGTGAAACTATTTTGAAAACCCGAAAAGAAGAACTATTGGCAGAGGAAGTCTCAATACTAGTTGGCTTATGAATGAGAGACAAGATATGGTGTTACAGTGCCTCATTACTCCAGAATTACCTATAAAGAACACAGGACAACTCAAAGATAAATACACAATGAGATCTTCCTCAACGAAGACGTTTGTTCAATGGGCTGAGTTTGGTGGAAGAGATGAACCAACTATTAACACATAACCTGTGTTGAAGAAAAGCATTGTGCTACCTTCAGAGGTTAATCTATGCAAGGAGAGTTCATCTTTATATAAAGACTGCCTCCTAACGCTGCCAGGGTTAAGGAGCCCGTGGGTTAAGTGCAATGTAGATGCTGCTCACACAAGTTAGAGCTTCCCCCACATGCCTCTAAACCTGATAAAGCCAAAAGCCCCAATTTCAGCCAAGTTCTTAAGCAGATGCCTAATTTCAAGCACGAGAATAGTTGCAGAGACAATTCTTTCACACTTTTTCCAATGGAGCTGCTCCCAAGGTCAAAGCTAGGTATGTGCTTAAGTACCTTGCTGAATCATGGCCCAAATGCAAGGTGCTGAGAAAGACATAACAGGATGGACAATGTACAAGTGCAAGCACAGGAAGCTTATGCTTGTAACATTTTCTGTCTCCTCAGTTTCCCAAGTCAGCATTTTTCATGTCACTCTCTACCATTATTAAAGCAAGACAACACCTACTTTGTGTCAGATGGAAGCAAATTTGGATCTGAAATGAGGGACATCTCTTCCAATAAGGGGGAGTCAATTGGATCAACCACCTTTTTTGGAGATCGCCCAAGATCTTTTGTTTTTAGAAATTTACTCAACTTTTCCAGCTCCTCGCTATTTTCTGTGTCATTTCTTCCTTTTTACCCATCCACTTTCCATCTCCCTACTCAGCCACTATTGGAAGTCTGATATATCCACAACCACAAATCCAGATGGCAGAAAGTGGCAGTTAAGTTGGACAGGAGGTCTACCATCTGCCAGCTTCCTCTATAAATGAACTGAGAAACAAGCTGGAGTGGACTGGGCGTTCTGGGCACTTCGAGCAAATGTCAAGAGGAGGCTATGTTGTTAAAAAAGCAAGCATCTAATACTTACATCTTGGCCCCGGTTTGTCCTCTGGAAGGCCCATGTGAATGTGAAGGAAGCATTTTTGGAGATAATGTGAGTGTAAGATTGTTTCTCCTTCGTCTTGCCCCAGGATTCCACCACATTCGTGTTTTTTCTATTAACATCCTAAAAATGTACGTAGTAGAATTAACAATACTGTGGAATGAAGCTGTGAAATATTAAATGCCAGTGTCTTACAGTAATAGCTGTGAGGCCTTAGCGACTCCCCAGACTTACACAGTGGGTGAGTGGCAGAATCAGGAATAGAACTCAACTTTTCTGAGTGCAATTCCCATGCCCTGTATCCTGAACCACAATACTACTATATTTTAGAGATCAAAACCCTGATCATATTGTAGTCAATGGGAGTTTTGCCAATGGATTGAATGATGCAGAATTTAGTCCTTTGTCGAATTCTTTTAAAATAATCAGATAGCAGAAAAGAACAGGATCATTACCATGAGTGATGGAGAAGCCCTGCTAGAGCATCAGATAAATACCCCTACAAGGGCACTGCAGATATTAAATTAATGCCACACTTATTCTTAGTGATAATAAACCTATCGCAGCTAATTCATGCCCATATACAACTATGAAAGAGATATGTGGAAGACCAAGATCATATCCCTCCGCCATAGAGATAGAGGTCTCACTTACCACCATAAAGTACATCACGCAATCTGCTGAACAGATGGTCTCAAAAATAAAAGAAATCCGTCCTAGTTCTGACCCGGTTGCTCCTGTCACCGATGTTGGAGGTCTGTTTAACAGACAGGAAATGAAATATTTAACAGGTGCTCTAAGGACACTTAGCAGTCAATTATGCCAATTGGTTTTTTAATCAACAAGAGAGGTGAAGAAATTCACTCACATGAAACCTGTCCTAATGTAACCAGTTTTTGGACTGGTATCACTACTTCAATTCGGGGGGAGGGGTGTGTGGGTGATTTTTTATTATTTTTTTACAATGAACATACAGTTTTACCTGTCTGGATCCCTGGGGCAGTCCAGTCAGGGCTCTTCAGGCCTAATGCCTGGGGTGCCCTCTCCAGCCCAGTCTCTATTCAAGCAAAAAAGCCTTTGCAGGTTTCCAAGCAGGCTCAGTTAGTGTCTCTCATTGGGCCCCTTTGCACCGGCTTCCTGCCCAGCTACTGCTGCTCCCTATAAGTCCCATGCAGATCCGCACCCAGCTGTGAGGTCTGGCAGCCACCGCCTGTTCCACATGCAGCTCTGTCCACAATTCCTGGGGCTTCTCTCCAGCTTCCTGCCGCCATGTGGCTCCCACCTCCAAACAGAGGTTGGCCACTTTCCCTTTCGGACCTTCCTCCGTACCTGGCCAGGGGAAGGGGAAAGTGCATGGGGAGGAGGCTGATGGGATACATAATCCCTGCATAGCCAGGAGAAAGGGGATGTATGGTGGGGAGGGGGCTGATGGGAGTTGTAGTCCCCTGGTTTGCAAATCCATCACCTGTTCAACAACAACTTTCTTCCTAGTGAAGGCAAGACCCTAGTGAAGGAGAGCCGATTGAGCATGTCAGAGAGGACACACACACATTCAGAGTCACTGTGATCTCTCTCTTAGAGACCTTTCTTGTTTGTTGTCATCCCTTATTCTAAAATAAAAGTCAGTCATATGGCTGCTCGTTGTGTATGGGAATACATCATACCGCTGACTTCAGTAGGATTGCTTACGTAAGTAAGCTCTGCAGGGTCACAACCTAAGGCCTGATTCAGATTCACATTGGTTTGACTTCAATGGAATTGCACCTGATTTGCTCCAGCCTAAGTGAAAGCACCATATGGCCCTTAGCTGCTGGCCAAGGCCCTGATCCTGTTATCCTGTGCAATGACTTCACTCCATACAGCTGTAAGAAGCAGCCTGATTGCAGATTCAAGGCTTATGTTGTCAACAGTCCCAATCACAATAAAATACTGGATAAGGAGTTACTTATGGATGATCTAGTACTGGAGAATCAGGCTTGGTCTATGCTACCACTTACATCGGTATAAGTCATGTCACTCAGGAGTATGAATAAGCCATCCCTTTGAGCAACATAAGTTACACCAAGCTAAGTACCGGTGTGGACAGCGCTATGTTGGCAGGAGAGCTTCTTCCACTGACATAACTCCCGCCTCTCGTGGAGGAGGATTTATTATGCTGATGGGAGAGCTCTCTCCTGTCAGCATAGAGCGTCTTCACCAGATGCACTACAGCAGCACAGCTGCATCGGTGCAGCTGTACCACTGTATCGCTTCTAGTGTAGACTAGCCCATAGTAACTTTCTTTCCATTGTATTCCAAGCATGAGCCAACGTGAAACAGGTACAAGAGGAAAAAATACAAGAAAAATTGACAAAGAAACTATGTTCCTTACTTAAATCCTGGGATATGCAGGTTCAGGATAAGATAATCATTGTCAGAGCCCCCTGCCCCACTCTGGATGTGATCACCAGCCACCTCCCAGCCTGCAAAGGAAAGGCCATTTTTTGTACAAGAAACAGTCAGTTTATTTAAATATGCAAGTCTCTCTCTATAATGTACTTTTCAAAATTTAGTAAATTATTTAAAAAAAAATCTTTAGACTAAATTGTAAAGTCCTAATAAACTGTTTTAAGAATGGCTGTACTGGGTCAGTCCAATGGTCCATCTAGCCCAGTATCCTGTCTTCCAGCAATGGCCAGTGCCAGGTGCTTCAGAGAAAATGAACAGAACAGGGCAATTATCGAATGATACATCCCCTGTTGTCCAGTCCCAGCTTCTGACAGTCAGAAAGTTAGAGACCCCCACAGCATGGGGGTGCATCCCTGACCATCTTGGCTAATAGACACTGATGGACCTATCCTCCATGAACTTATCTAATTCTTTTTTTTAAACACACACATACTTTTGGCCTTCACATCCCCTTGCAACGAATTCCACTGTTTGACTGTGCATTGTGGGAAGAAGTACTTCCTTATGTTTGTTTTAAACCTGCTGCATATTAATTTTATTGGGTGACCCATGATTCTTGTGTTATGTGAAAGGGTAAATAACACTTCCCTATTCACTTTCCCCACACCATTCATGATTTTATAGACCTCTATCATATCCCGCCCCCCCCTTTAGTCATCTCTTTTCTAAGCTGAACAGTTCCAGTCTTTTTAATCAGTCCTTGTATGGAACAGCTTCCATATCCGTAATCAATTGTGTTGCCCTTCTCTATAGCTTTTTCAAGTCTAATATTTCTTCTTTGAATTGGGGTAACCAGAACTGTATGCAGTTTTCAAGGTGTGGAGGATTTATATAGTGGCATTATGATATTTTCTGTCTTATTATATATCTCTTTCCTCATGGCTCTTCACATTCTGTTATGCTTTTTGACTGCTGCTGCACATTGAGCAGATGTTTTCAGAGAACTATCCACGATGACTCCAAGATCTTTTTTTTTGGCGTGGTAATAGCCCATCATTCTCTTGCATCTCCTGGAAGTTAGCTATTAATTGTCAATTTCACAGGCAAATATTACCATGAAGTCATGATTTATCAAAGCAATTGAAATTCTATGGAGTGTGACATACAAGAGGTCTGACTACATGATCATAATGTCCTTCTGTCCTCAAAAATCTACAAATCTGTGGAAGTCCATCCCTATTCAGCAAAGCACGTAAGCACTTGAAGTTAAGTCTGTGTTTTGCTGAATCAAGGACTGAATTACAGCATCCTAGCAGTTTTAGCATGTAAAATAGAGAACAGTTGTTCACCAGGACCCTTATACAGAACAAGAACAATTCCTCATAGGCACTAATAGAAGGATGGGTTGGAAAATTTTTGAACAGGAATATTTTCATAGGGGTTCTGTGATGGCTCTCTGCTGCCATCTCAGCGCACATGCAGGGAGACTGCTTTGAAGGCACTAGGCTGGCTTGATGCAAAGATTGAAAACTTTGCATGTTTTCAAAAACATTAATAAAATGTCCTTGAAAGTCACAATGATCATGAAGACACAAATGGAAAGAACCAAAAATAGAACTCGGAGAGGACTTTTTTTCTAATATAGACCTTTAGATGCATAACATTGTACTATGGGCCAGATTCTCAGCTGGTATAAATTGGTGTAGCTCCAGGGAAGTCAACGGAGCCAAAACGTTTACACCAGTTGAGGATATTTATTTTCTCCTTTTTGGTATTCAACAAGTTTTATATCTATTAGAGGTATCAAATCCTTGTGCAGTGAGAGGAAGAAAAGGAGCTGCATGTTGGGATGAACTGCATAAAGCACATATATTCACTGGAATAGGCACTCAAATACTATGGTGAGTGGCACCCATGAAAGACAGACAAGTAATAAGATAGAAAGACCAGCTCACCATTCATTCCATCACACTTTGAATTGCCAACATTAAAACAAGAAGTCTTCATATTGACTGGCAGAACGTTCCACCATTTATATTCAAGCCCGAGAGCTGGTTCAGTCCCAGCAGGGCAGGCCTTGCATTCTACAGGAAGAGAAAGGCAGGAAAAGAAAATTACACACAATAAGTGAATATCAAACACAGCGCTTTAAAAAAACTCCATAACCATTAGTGTTTCATTCAGGGCAGCTGTGAGCAAATCTGAAGACACAGTTCAAAAGAAACAATTAAGCCCTTTAAAAATGAACAGCCAATGATCACACAGAATCAGACCTGTAGAACTTTCTCCCAGCTGGAATGACAGAGGCCTCATTGCGGATGATACTTTGAATCAGATCAGATGGACTAATGAACTGTAGGGAACAAATAGGCACCAGCAGAGAGATGGACTAGATGGAATGTTTTGTCTGGAATGGTTCTGATTCCATTCTCAGAGAGCTTAAAAATAACTTTAAATATGTGCATACCAGCCAAGAGACATATCCAGGAAACATCACAGTAAATAACGGCAGCAATACATTATAACAAAGCATTCTGGGGATCAATTGGGACACTCCTGTTCTTCATGTTCTCCATCTCTCCCTCCCTTCCCCAATCCTGCTCCGATGTCATTTAACCAATATCTATTTTACAGACCAGAACACTGACTGACAGGGACATGTCACAAAAATGTAGACCACACACAAACAAGTGACAGCCTCCAGAAAAACAAGCAAAGTCTGTAGACGTCTAACTGCCATAAGTTATTGAGATGGTGTATTCACCAGATAATAGACCTCATACCCTTTGTTCCGTCTGAAATCATGCCCTGAGGGCAAGGAGAGCAGGAAGATGATCCATTGTTGTAAAACCCAGGGTTGCATGGTGGACAATCCTTCTTCTCTCCAGAAGGAGGCAGTTTCAACGCATCAGGAAGATCCTCCCTGCAAATTTTAGGCTCTATCCATTTGTACATTATCTGAGTCTGAAATTGAAAGGTATTTGAGTCACACATTACATTAGATGGCATTAGGACTCAAAGCTGATTAAGTTCCTAATTAATGTTCACCTGAAGGCGCTGGGTGTTTTCGGTGGGACCCAGACATGACAAAATGAAAACCAGAGAGTTTTGGACAATAATGTTAAGTGAATACAAGGGAGTCATGGGAGGAGAGAGGAGACGGGTCACAGATGACTCCAAGATTTTAGGCTATAAGAGCAAAGCAAAGGTTTGACTGTGAAGAGTGTTAGTGGAGTCAGAAACATGGGACAAAGAGGACTTTTTACCTAGGAGAAGGATTCAGTGCCTGAAGCATTCAGTAGGAGCAAGTTATGGTGTAGGCAGGAGCCGAGAGAGTCAAGACAGGCAGATAAAGGAGAGTCTGACAAGGTGGGATGTCATTTTATCATACACACTTGCACACACAGACACTCACACACTTGCACACAAGCTCACACACACCCACACTCATCCCTGGGTCATTTGACAAAACTTCTAGGTTCACACTGCTGAAATCAATCACACAAGGACTACTGCAATCACCTACGCTAGGCTTCCTGAATCCCTACACTCTAACCTCCAGCAGATCCAGTAGCACAGACTGCTTTCTCATTCCAGTAGCATCACCCCATCCCTCTGTCACCTTCATTATAAACTCTCCTTGCACTCTCTCCACTCTAATCCCATGATCTCATAGCCTCCTTCTGCCCTACGCTTCTCTGTATCCCCTCCCATAAGTTAGGATTCTTCACCACTGGAAATAGGGGGCCTCTTTTGCAGTTTGGATGCCACATCTGGAGCTTTCTTCCCCTCCCCCATTTCCTCCTACACATGGAAGCCATCATCTTCCAGCGTGGATGCCTGAAGACAGGAGCCTAAATCCATAGCAAGGCACCAAAATAAGTGACCTGATTTTCAAGAGGACAAGCATCTGGTTTTATTAATTATTATTATTTGTTTTTTGTATTGCAGTAGCATGCAAAGGCCCAAATCAAGATCAGCATCCCACTGTGCAAGGTGCTGTACATACACATAAGAATCTACAGCCTTCCTCTGATGAGCTTACAATATAATTTAAAAGTAGATGCAAAAAGTGAGTGTAATAAGCAATATGAGGAAAGGATGAGAGTAACAGTAATAATATCGCACAGTTACATAGGCTGTCCATGTGCACAATTTGATAGCTACAAATCAGTTGAAAATATGTTTCTCTTCTATTAACAAACAAATATCAGTTATCTCCGACTACCATTCCCATCAATACGGGCCTGACCCAAAACCCACTGATATTAGTCAGTCTTTTCAATGTGCTTTGGTTTCTTTTAGGCACCGCAGCAGATCTCCATTGACTTCCAATTTGAACATGTTGGCTTTAATCACTTTCCTTCTTTAAACCGGGCTTTAAAAACAAAAACTTTCTATTTTCCCTGAAGCATTTTATTGACTTTTTTCTGTGAAGTGTTTGGGATACTCTGTATAAAGAACACATACAAAAAATACTTCCTTCCCCGCCCCCATTTTGAAAACTGAGTGTATTTTGAGGCATTTGTATATGAGAACTTCACAAGCTGAACATTATCTCAAGACTTGCCAATACTTTGAAAAATTCTGAATTTCTCTCCAATCCTTTCAGTGAACACATGTTTAGAAGGGAAATGAGATCAGGTAGCATGAGCTGCCTTTTCCTGAACCCCCAGGATTGACTGATGTGCAGTGAAATGTTATTTGTTCCTTTGACATACAGCTCAGACTGTGCTATTCGATCCCCCATGAGCAGACTTGAGTCCGTGTAAAGCTCAGCTGCCACCCCAAGGGTTCCTAAGGGATAGATCATTGCAGGATTTTGGTTTCAGGATTTCATTAGGCGAGAGGTTCCCAATTTTTTTTTGCTGGGTCCCCCTTCAGAAAGTCACATCCCACCATGCATGCCCCCCCCTCTTTTTAAGAAACAGTGTTTCCACAGATGCCTAGGGTCAGAAGCCCATCCCGGCCAGGGCACCCTGCTGCTCCCCAGCCCAGGGCACGTTCTGGGTATGCAGTCCCAGCAGGACACAGACAGATAGGCTTGCACTCCTTTCCTCATGTCCCTGAGATCCCCAGAATCACTCACAGGCCACAGGCTCCTCTGGCCCCTGGTGCAATCTCCAGCACTCATCTGCAAGAGGCTGTGTGTGCAGGGAAGAACTACCTCCCACATAGGGAGAGGGCACTTATGTATCAAACTCTAGAGTGGCGAGCAAGCTGGAAAGGGCCCCTCCCCATATCCGACACAGGGAGAGGCGACACCCCCTCCCGCCTCACCTCTCTCCTCCTGTTGCCCCATGACATTCCTGCGTGTACCCCAGAACTTGGCAGTACTGCAGTCAGCCATGTTGTATGTGCAGCCACTGCTAGCTGAAAACCAAACGTCGCATAGCTAGGAATAATCTTAGGCCTTTGTGAGACAAGGTCAGACAGATGCATACTTGCAGTCTGTTAATTAGAATGGGAGGATGGGATAGAAAGTTATGGAAGAGATGGAGTGGATAATGACCTTGGTTTTAGGTGCCCCTGACATATTGTTGTTATGGCTAGAAATAGTAGAAATGTTTTGAGATAATGAGTAGTTTGTTGAAATTAGAAGAACTGGTGACCCAGTAGAGGTTATTACGCCGACCCACTAGGAGTCACTGTAGGTTGCGTGTTTTGTTAGAATTAACTATAACAGATTGGGTAAAAGTAAATACCTCACAACAATCCAAGGGAGCTTTTCTTCCAGAAAGGAGCCGACCTCTAAAGAGTGTCCCTGAAAGCCTGGCTGGTGATCACTCAAAACCGTCTCAGGCCATGGGTAACTATATCTGGGATGTCCTAAACCTATTGCTTATGTCTGTGTGTGCTTAATATCTAATAAATTGTAGTTTTAGATAAGAGCATGCTTACTTGTATTGATATTTCATGAGACAGAATTGCTGTGTTCCCATTGATTTATTCCTGACATTGCCTGGAGTGAAACAGTGAAATTTGCTTTGGGTTCTGAAAATCCTGGGTAACAGATTTGGCAAGCAAGCCAGCCAGGAGTGGTGGAGAAGAGGGAAGGACTGATACAAGTGGTTTGTTTGTTTTGCAATAGGAGAAGGGGATGGTGGAACAGGGCAGCTCAGATAGTAGGACTGCAGAAGCGTGGGGGTGACAGTGAGTGAGAGAGTAACAGGCTGGAACAGGAAGTGGTTGTATTGAAACAACAGAAAACAGAGAGTGAGAATCCCATAGTAGAACTCAGGCTGATCACGGGAAATGTCAGAGCCATGTTGGGAGAGCAGAAGGGAGTAGTGATTGCAATCCATGGGAGTCGTAGCCTAAGTGGGGGGAGATGAGTCAGAGGTGGATATCTGTGTGACAGGTTGAATCACAGAAACCCCCCTGGGGTTGCCAACTGATGCGCCAAGACTACTTCTGCCCCTGCTTTCCCTGCCAATTTGGCCCTCCAGAACCCTGCCTGGTTGTGCCAGACACGCTTGCCGACTAAAAACACAGACCCAGGTCTGAACTATGTCCCACAAACTGCAGGCTTAACTGAAAGCAGCTTAAGTGTTCCTGTCTCCAACACTCAGATGCCTAACTCCCAATGGTGTCCAAACCCCCAATAAATCCGTTTTACCCTGTATAAAGCTTATGCCAGGTAAACTCATAAATTGTTCACCCTCTATAGCGCTGATAGAGAGATATGCACAGCTGTTTCCCCCCCCCCCCGATATTAATACATACTCTGGGTTAATTAATAAGTAAAAAGTGATTTTATTAAATACAAAAAGTAGGATTTAAGTGGTTCCAAGTAATGACAGACAGAACAAAGTAAATTACCAAACAAAATAAAATAAAATACGAAAGTCTATGCCTAATACAGTAAGAAAGTGATTACAGGTGAAACCTCACCCTCAGAGATGTTCCAGTAAGCTTATTTTACAAACTAGCCTCCTTCTAGTCTGGGTCCAGCAATCACTCACACCCCCGTGGTTACTGTTCTTTGTTCCAGTTTCTTTCAGGTATCCTCTAGGGGTGAAGAGCCCATCTCTTGAGCCAGCTGAAGACAAAATGGAGGGGGTCTCCCAAGGCTTTATATAGTTTCTCCTTGTGGGTCTAAGCCCCTCCATCCACCTGTATAGAATTACAGCTACAAAATGGAGTTTTGGAGTCACATGGGCAAGTCACATGTCCATGCATGACTCAGAACTTTACAGACCAAGCCACATTCCTGGGAAAGCTCAGATGTGGATTGGCATCTCCACATTCATTGTTAGCTTAAGTGTTTCTTGATTGGGCACTTACTGAGAATAGTCTTTTCTCAGGAAGCTGACCAACTGCTTCATTGAGGCTACTTAAAATTAAACCTGTACATCGCCAATATTCATAACTGTGAATACAAAAATGACACATGCATATAAATAGGATGAATAGATTCAGTGGATCATAACCTTTACAGAGATATGTTACATGGCATATGTAGCATAAAACATATTCCAGTTATGTCATAGTTACATTCATAAGCATATTTCCATAAAGCATTATGGGGTGCAGCATCACACCCTCCTCCTGAACTTACTGCCAGAGACTTGGGCACTGTCCACGATGGAGGCAGTACATGTAAAATCCCTGTTTGTCTTTGGTCACACTCCCTTTCAGTACCTTTAAACCGTATGATGTCATTCATAGGTGTTCTAGCAAGGTTTGGGATGCCTGGTCCCCTGGTGCCTGAAAACAGGTTGGGGTGTAGTATTGCTAACAGAATGCGGACAGAAATATTTGTTAAAGTGTAGGTGTCTTGGCATTTAGCCACCAATGCCATGAGGTGGTGTGCCTCAGTTTCCCCTTCTACACAGCAGCATGAGCCTGTTATGCTTTTGCTGCTGTGCCAAGCTTCCAGCCTGTTTAAAGGTATAAGATGAAGGGTAACATGATTGTGGGACTGTCTTGTCACGATCCCTAGCATGTACAACAGTTTCTTC